TGCTGAACCTAGTCTGTATTGTTTGACTATTTTACATCAAATTAACTACACAACAAAGTCATTCTTATTGAAATAACAAATGATATGCCATGCTGCAAATTATGAGACCAACATTAATAATAATTGTAACTTAAACATTTCAACATCACTCAAAGCTGATACCATACATTATAAGGATTCTTGTGCAACTTTAAAAAACACATCAAACTTGAACCAACCATTTGCACATTGGTAATGCAATACTCTGTGATGCTGGGCTCACCTTGTGCATACGGGGTGTGCTCGTGCCTGTCCTTAGTCAAGGATGACTGAGGCTGAGGTGGCTTGTGACATGAAGATCATGTCAGGGTGCTGGTCTCTCTCTCTAACGCTCTCTTTCTCTGTCAAATAAATAAATGAACAGGAAAAAAAAGCAAAATCCAAAAACAATTTTAAAATAAATATATGTGAAAGCTGGTCCCATAGCACAATATGTAAGGGTAAGGGATTTTACATAGTTTCCAATGGTCAAATACTGGCCCCCGCAGTTTGACAAATACCAGGCCTGTGTTACATGCATGCCCAAAATCAAAATCAGAAAGGAAGAGTGGAGAAAAAAGCATTGTGGCAAGACCGAGTCCCGCTGGATGGTGCTTCCTCTCACACTGGTGAGTGCAACCACGCTTTGACAATCAAAAAAAAAAAAAAAAAAGATTAAAAAAAAAAAAAAAATGACTCACTCATGAGAAGTTCCTATAGCAAGGTAAAGTAGACAGCAATCACCGCTGTTCTTGACACCTTCTAGACAGCTCCCCGTGCACACATGTGCATGCACACGTGTTTGATACATAGGATCATACATGTGCTGTTTGGTAGTTTGCCTTTTTCACAAATGATACCCGGGCTGTTTTGCTCACCCGTAAACACGAGGTGTTACCGATGGCGACTGCACGGCAGCCCGCTGTCTGGATCTGTGGTCGAATCCGGTTTCTCAGCACTCTCGGGATGCTGCCGTGAGGGTCCTCGGTACACGCAGGCTCGTTCATGCACAGGACAGACTTCTGGGACTGCAGCTCTGCCCTCATGCACAGAGGGAGTGGGCGATACCCCTCTACCTCAGCATATGCTGCCAAGTGCCCTGGAGGCCGTACGAATGCCACGGCAGCGTCTTCCTGGGGCCCCTGAACTTCGCGCTGATTTCTGGTGCGCTGCTGGGTGAGACCTCAGGAGAGGTAAGCTGGTGGCTGCAGCTGCCCCTCATGTGTCTGACCGCCTTTCAGGGAGACTGGCTGCGCCCCTGCTGAAGCGCCTGAGCCTGTCCACGTCCAAGCTGAACAGCCTGGCCATTGGCCTGCGGCAGATCGCAGCCTCCTCACAGGACAGCGTGGGGCGTGTTCTGCGCCGCACCCGGATTGCCAAAAACCTGGAGCTGGAGCAAGTGACGGTCCCGATTGGAGTCCTCCTGGTCATCTTCGAATCCCGCCCTGACTGTCTGCCTCAGGTGTGTGATTCGTGCCTTGACCTTGGGGCACAGGGAGAAATTAGGGGAGTATATTTTCAGAATTCCAGAGAAGTCTCTCTGAGATAATTTGTGTGCATATAGGTTTTATTCCCTGCCCTCCCCCCAAAAAAGACAGATTCAGTAAAAAAGATAGTTTTATTCTCAGGTGGTTGTTATGGTCTTAGTCCTTCCATTTTACAGTGGAAAAGCTGAAGTTGATAGATGATATTCCTGTCGTACTCTCGAAGGTGGAGCTGGGCTGGATCCCAGGGCGGGAGCAAAGTGCTGAGCGGCTGAGCTCATAGCATGCTTATTCTCTAACCGCGGTCCCTGCTAGCCTGCTGCGGGTCGTTCTTCCAACAGCCGGCTTCGCCCACATGAAAAAGACCTTGTTACCATGTCCCAGATGGCTTCCTGTAGATACATCTGTTAGAAAAAAAGAACTTTCAGTGGTCAACGGGAACTAGAGCCCGCCTCTAAGAACACAGTGGGGCAGGCCGATGTGAAACCAAGTGTTAAAGGCCGCTTCCCCTCCCCAGTACGAGGCGGTGTTGGAGGGTGGCCTTACTCTGCTTCCCCATCCTGTCTCCCAGAAATCTGGGACCATCGGAATGTCCAGTAAGGTGCTTCTAGCTCTTCCCTTGCACTAGCCCTAACATTTGGAAAGGGCGTTCTTTTTTGTTATTGTTTTGTTTAATCTTCAGAGGGTGCGTACACTCCCCAGAGAGGCTAAGACAACACATCCCCAGTGGGGCACAGTAATGCTGCAGTTCTTTCTCCATCTCTCTGTCCCGTCAGGATTTGGGGCACACACACACGGTTAGACCAGCCGGCTTTCTATGCACTGCACTGAACAGCTGTGCTTCAGAGCCAGCCCAAAGGGGAACTCTATTCTAAACAGAGCCCCAGCTCCTTTTTACTGTCTGGCATAGGTGGCTGTGGGAGTCTGGAAAGTTCTGAGGAGAGTATTGTCTGAAATGAGACCCAGCCTGGTTGCCGAGGACCCCCATACCAGTGGCATCTGTCTTCAGCCCCTGGATGAGGCTGGCACCCTGCGCCCTAGCACGTCCCCTGGGATTCCTGCAAGACCCGCTTCTGCAGGCGGACATGTGTCCTTAGTCTCTGGGCTGCCCACGAGGTTTCTGCTACCTCTCATTCTCTCCAGCCGACACCTCGCAGGGAGTCAGGCTTCCTCTAGCGAGCCGTAGCTGAGGCTCCTCGCCTGATGGCGTCGCAGAAGCCACGAACCCTAAAAGCTCTATGCAGAATTATATGTGTATGCACTTACCTGGAGAAGATTTTCATAACTTTCATAAGGGTCCATCAGCCACAAGCAGAAAGGAGTAAGAGCTCTTCACCTGGGGGCCAGCAGGCGGTGTGGAGGTTAGGCTGACTGGGTCCCACATGGCCGGCTGTGCTGTCAAGTCCTAACCCTACGGCTGGGAAATCACACCAGGCGCACGTGTGCATGCCGAATCCCGAGAGGAGAAAGGAGAAAGGATTGCAGCATGGCCATTCTGCCCTGGGGAGGGCAGAGGGGTGCTTTCTCACTTTCTCTGTCTCTCGCTATCTCTTTCCCACAAATGCACACGCCCTATAGCAAAACTGAAAAAAAAAGAACACAAGGGTTTTGGTCCTTCCCTCCCCTCCCCCCATGTTACAAACACTGGAGGATTTTCCTCCATCCCAAGAGCATTCAGAAAGCCAGGCTTAGGGTGATCAGGGCAGTGACGCTCACTCTGCTCTGACAGGGTCTCGCCCTCCTCCTGGATCGCCTGCCTTTCCTCCCTAAACAGGCCGTACTCCTTTCCCGGCAGTCCCTGCTGCGCTGGCCGGAGCCCTAGTCTCCAGGTTCACGATTCCAGGGCCAGAAGAGGGTGTGGCCAGAGGTGTTGCCCAGGCCCAGCCTGAGCTACGTGCTTCCTGTGGAAGGAGCTGAGGACCCCTTTCCCACAGTGGCCCAGGCGGGGAGGGGGCAGTGCGTCCCCGGCCACTTCACTCAGGTTGCTTTGCCAATGGAAGAAGCCACATAGCTGAATTCCTGAGATCCAGGTGGCTCAGCTCTGGGGCCCCTCAGCGTGGCTCCCAGTCCTGCCACGTGTAACTTGCGTGACCGCTCTGCACTTAAGTGTCCTACTGTAAAGTGGGCGATAGAACAGGTACTAGGTCACTGGGATGTTGCGAAGGTGGGATGGCGTAGGCCTTACAGAGCGATGAACATAGAACTTAGTGCTTAGCACCAAAAAGACTGCAGGGCTGACCTGTGGCCCAGTGGTCCACTACGCCATTTAGTCCCAGACTCAGTGGCATGAAAACCATGCCAGGCATGTGTGCATACATGCCCAAACTCCCAGGAGGGCGAGAGATGAGACAGGATGGTGGCATGACCATTCACCTCCATGGCGCCTTTCCCCCCTCCTCTGTCTCACCTCCGCGATGCTTCCCCCCCTCACCTCCATGGCACCTTTCCCCTCCCTCTCTGTCTCACCTCCATGGCACCTTCCCCCCTCCTCTGTCTCACCTCCGTGATGACCCCCCCCTCACCTCCACGGCACCTTTCCCCTCCCTCTGTCTCACCTCCCCGGCGCCTT